GAGTGCCTTAGAAGACTAAGGGAAGGGGGTCGAGCGAAGCCCGGACAGAAGCACGGCCCAGGGTGGTAACGGGGTATCCCGCGCGCTCTGAGGCTGGTCGGGGACTTGGAGGGGGAGGAGCTGGGGAGCAAGGCGGAGCCTCACGGCCGCAGTGCCCACCCCGCCTGCTGCCGCGTCAAGCGGCAGGAATGAGGGGAATCTGCGTGCGGAGGGGTCCGGCCAGTCATCCCCCAAACCCGATCTGCGCCGCCGCATTCCCGGGATGCCCGATGGCGCCCCCACAGCCGCCGCCCAGAGGCGGAAGGAGGGGGCGTCTCGGCCGCTGGACGGACCTGACTGAGGGCGGGCCCCAGTGCCCGGCAAACCCTATGGCCCGGGCCGGACCCTCACTGGACTGAGCTGGAGCGGGGGCGGTGGGGAATGGACGATGTGAAAGACCAAAGCTGCAGCGCCCGGCCTTTCAACAGTCTAAGCGCTTTCTTCTGTAACACCGTTCTGTGCTCCCCAGCCAAGCCACGAGGTGTGTCATCACTCCCATTCTACAGATGGGGAAACGAAGGCTGGGCGGGCAGACAAATGACTTGTTCAAGACCTCAGGACTAGTAAAGGAGGGGTGGGGTTGCACTTCCCTGTTCCTGCAGGGCTGCCCTGAGAGGGTGGGCCGATTCCTAAGCTTTTCTAGAAAGGCTAACATGCTCCCTGCTAGACTGTGACTTTCCTCAGTGACCCCCTTGACTGCAGTGCCCAGTACACAATCCTGTTGGTGGTGACCACATATAGCCTTAAGGAACAGCAGCTAGGGGACAACCACACCTTTGGGCCCCTCCAGCATGGCCCTGAGTTTAGGCACAGGACTGAAGTCCAGTCAAGGTCCCAGAGTGACCCAGGGCTTATTTCCTAAGACTACCCCCAAGCTTAATCTTTGGAGGAATGGGGAGGATGGAGGGCAGCCTCAAATATTCCCCCATGACAGGCAGGTCTGCAGAGGAGATTCAAAGGAACCTCCTAAGAGTGCCATAAGCTGATTTCCACTGTGGCAGCTTCATGGTCTCTTGGGACAGTGAAAGTAACATAGCCTATCACCTCTCCTGCAGTGCACAGGACAGGTGCTCAATTAAACCTTAGATCTGTGCTCAGGAGGGTGCCTCCACCAGGGACTGTTCCAGCTCAAGAGAACTATTTTGAGTGGAAATGCGGGAAAGAAAGGTGTGGACAATGAGGCACTGCCTGATTGCACACAGGACTTCAGAGCCATGATCCTTTGACCTTCCGGGCATCTCTGCTTGGGAGCCCCCAAAAGTAAATGAAGTATCTTCCCCCTAAACTATCCTCCTTGTCCAATATTCCTTACAAACAGAGGTGAGAAGCGCTTCTACCTAGTCATCATAGCCTGACTTCAAAAGGCATGTCCTCCTCCCTCCACTCTTCACACCAAGGAATCACCACCCGCTAAAATCTCTCCTGTTCTTCCATCACAGCTGGGCTTCCACGTCAGGTAGCAGCCTCCTGATTGACCTTCCAACTTTTCTCCAGTCTGTGGTATTTACAAATACAAACCAGATCACCTAACACTTCATGTTAACAGAAAGATTTACAGAGCACCCAACAAGGACCAAGCCCCATTGCTTTCTGTCAGGCCCCTGCATAAGAACTACAACAGAACCCCACAGTGCTCATTCACCCCACTGCTCCTGCTTCTCCAGCGTGCAGGAGTGGCCCTCTCCAGTCCCTCCTCTCCCCATGCCTCCCTCACCACCACACACTCCCTGGAGTTGCTGCAAGAATCTCTGCCATCAACCACACGTGGCTTTCTAACCTTTTTGCTTTTGCACCTGCAGTTAGCTTGGCCCAGAGCTCCCTACACTGACCCACTCCCCACCTGACTGACTCTTAAACATCCTTGAAGACTCAGTTCAGGTATCAACTCCTCCAGAACCCATGCCTGACTCCCCTCAATACACAGCTCCCTCCTCATCGCACAGAACTCTAATTGCTTGCTTCCTCGTTAGGCTCTCCCAGGAGACTGCTCCTGCCTGCTCAGACAGACGGAGCAACCCCGGCTGGCACACTGTGGGGGGCTCAGTAATCCTCTCAATGAATGAAATGAATCACAGAGCTCAGGGTTGTGAGCAGGAGGCCGGGACGTGTGGGTCAGCCAATCACTTTCATTCATCTCTGAACCCCCGCACCCTCCATACTCACGAGCACCAACGCCCGCGGGACGCGGGAGAAGCTGGGCCCCGGGGGGCGGAGAACGGGAAGGGGCGGGGCTCCGGCTGCTGCTCCGGAACCCACAGGCTGAGCCTGGCAGCCAAAGGGGCCCCAAGGGCGCGCAGGCTGTTTGGGTCCGGAGACCCAAACCGCTCCTCGCCGCCCTCCCGTGACCCACTAGTAATATAAGTCGCCACCAGCCCAAGGCCTGGTGCCACCGGGTTCTGGGACCCCGCAAGGATCGGAGGGGCCGAACCGACTCTGAGCCCGCGAGACCCGAGCAGCGACCCACGCCTCCCGTACGGTAGTTGTAGGCCTGGCTCGGGTGCCCGCCGCTTGCCCTTTCCCGCATCCCGCCCGCCAGAGGCCTCTCAGGGCCACGCGGCTGCTGTCAGCCTCGCGTACCCACCGACTCGGCTCTTTGGGCGCGCAGGCGGGCGGGGGCCAGTCTGGGCAGCGTGGCCGACTCCGGAGTCCACCGTCCCGGCACGTTCTCCCCGCCCAGGGCCCGCCCGGGGCCGGGCCGCTGCCTGTCGTCATCCCGGGCAGGGCTCAGACCCCAGCGCGCGCGCGCGCGCACCCTCGGGCCCCGCCCCACCCCAACAGGTTCTGGAACTGCTCCTGGCCTGTGTCGGTGTTGGCGGAGACGGTGCTGTACGCTCTGCCACTAGCTTAGGACAAAGCACATCAGCTTCTCTGTGTCCGTCTCTTTCTCTGGCACACACGCGCGCGCGCACATACCCCTCCAGCCAAAGATCCTACCCACTCGCTGCAGTGCTGGATGGGTCGGTGCATCTGATGGGGTTCTCCCTTCTCATCCTGCGGACTCTGCAGCCCAGAGTAAGCCCGAACCCCGTCCCCTCCCCCACTCGTGCCAGCTCAGGTCACTTCTACCCTTTTATGCCCGGTTGAGCCTACCTCTTTCCCTTTCCCCTCCTTGCTGGCGTTCTCTACTGCTGTGAGCTGGCCAGTTCGTTCTTCAGACGAGAGGGATAGGGAGCGGCATTAATAGAGCCTGCCTAAACAATAGTAGCCTTTTACCTTCACAGCAGCCCTGTCACCTAGGTGTTATTATTGCCTGTTCTTAGCACACCCCACGGAGGTTCAGGGAACTGGAGAAGGGATTCAAACCTAGATTCCCACTTTGAAAAACCCTGCTCTTAGTGGCCCCTAAACCTTTACCTCTCCCATCCATTTATGTCTTCTTATCCAGGCTATTCCTTACCCCAGAACCCCTCACCACTGCTCACCTTTTCCAGAGGGGATTACTTGGGGTAAAGGGGCTAGATACTGCCACCCTTCCTCCCAGTCCAGAGCATCCCAACTTACAAGTTTGCAGGGCTTGTGGGGATGAACCACGCGGATGATCTCCCCGGTGGGTATCAGCTCCACTTGCAGTGCCATTCTACCTTGTGGACAGCCAGTGTGCTGAGCTCTGGGGCCTTGGGGCAGAGCCTGCGTGCCCACTGGCTTTGACTGCTCCCAAAGCCAGGAATCTGGTCTCACGCTGGGATGGCCACTTGGTTCAGCTTCAACTCCAGCCCCAGGGGATGTGTCTGGTCCAGCGTCTCAGGACACAGCTGGAGCAGCCCAGGTCTGATTGGGAGGCCTCTTGGCCCAGCGGGTTGGGGCAGGAAGAGGAGGGGCTGAGGGATGGAGGAAATGCCTGTTGTCCCAGGTAACCAGAGGAGCTAATATAGTCACCCATGGGGACCCTCGAGTCCAGGTCAAAGGGTAGGAGGTCTTTGCCTCCAGCACCCTCCATTGCCAGGCCTCTCCCGCTACCAAGTCATTGGTGTCAGCCAGAGCGCGCAGTGACCACTCCCCAAACCAGAATGCACATCCTGCTGTAAATCAAGAGGAACCATCAATTAGCTTGCACTCAGCATGTCCCCCAGCTTGTATCCCACTGTAGCACGTGAGCCCCTGTAGTTTGAGAGGCCAGGGTAGCTGGGGGCTGGCCATGTTGGGCACAGGAGGTTGGTGAGAGAGGCAAAAGGGCATTGTCTGAGGGCCCTGTCCCACCCTTCTCCAGAACCTCTATTGCTTAAGAGGTTGGTCCTTGGGTTCCCTGGCTGTGGACAGACTAAACCCTGTGTGCTTCTTACTTCAGTCCCACTCTCAGGTGCCCCCCACCCAGAATGTTCCTGTTTTTCTATCTGTATTGTTGCTAAATCACAGTTGACACTTTCCTGGCCTGGGACTAAGCTCTCCAGTCGCCAGTCATTCCTTATAGGAAGTGAGATGGGGGAAACGGACCTTTCCAGAGGGAGAGGCTGGCATGGGAGGGGCTGAACAGTGGGCCTGGGCCAGCCTTGCCAACCCCAAGGGCAGGCATCTCTCCCCAGGTGCCCCTTCCCTCCCACTTCCTCCCGCCCAGGAAAGGCTAGCAAAGCTTCCTTCCTTCCTCTGGGAAGCACATCTATCTAGGGCAGGCTCATCCCAGGCAGCCACACAATGGCCCTTATCAGCCGTGGAGCCAGGCTCAGAGACTTGCACACCAAGTCTCACATATTTCCTGTTTCCACCCAACGGGTCAGGGCTGGGCCCAGTGCGGCCTGCCATATCCTGACCGGGGCCAAGAGGAGGGAAAACACACCCCCTTCCTGTTCCCCCCTCTCACTCACTGCAGGACTCAGTCCTCCAGGGCTAGGAGGATCCTGCAAGAATTACTGGGAAAGAGAGGTGGGCATGTGGAGCACAGCATGCTCGGTGAGCAGGAGAAATGGGGAACTTAGATTTAGAAGCCCCAAGATCCAGCCCCAGGGCTGCATGAACCAAGCAAGGTAGTGGGCATAGTGTTTTAATTGTCCTCTCACCGTATTGTGAAGAGACACATTACTTGTACTTTACATACCACTGAGACCCCTATGTGGGTGACATGGAACTAATTCCAACCCATCAAGTTGAATAGCATCAACCCGGTCTTGATGCTATTCCTGTTTCTGCTGCCCGTGTTAACTTCCAGTGGGATCATGTTCTCTCTCCGAGCTTTGGTTTCCCTGAACCAATGATGTGCTCAAATCTTCTTTTTCCCTACAGGACAAGGTGGCCAAGTATGAGGGTTCAGGTTTCCTTAGGTGTATGTATATTGTGGGCAGGATAGAGGAACCACAGAATGGGGGAGTCTGGGGAGAGGCAGGGCAGACAGAAAGATGGTGCCGTTTTTGAACATTTAACCCAGGACCAAGACTCAAGACTAAGGGAGTGGCGTGTAAGGACAGTGAACCAGTAGGAACAGAGCTCCTCTGAGCTTTCACTTCCAAGAAAGCCACTGTGCTTAGCGGCAGAGTAAATGAAGTGTCCAACAACGTAGATGGCATGCCTCAACTGGGCGAGGGGCCAGAGGGCCTCAGAATCTCACCACATTCCTGTCTGTCACTTTGAGTTACAGGATCTAGTCTGGATCTACACAGCTCTTGCTCTCGAGTCTCAAAAGACCCCACGTGCCTCTTCCCACCAGCATCATGAAAAGAGTCACACACAAGTGTAAAGGCCTTGTTTCTAGTTACTGTTCAATATAACCAGCAGCGTGCAGTCAGTCCTGGCCCTCGAGAAGCCAGGGGGCAGTTCTTGACAGTACACAGATTCCGTGATGTGTACTGCTGTAGAAAGTACAAGCAACCAGAACATCCTTCGGTCTCAGGATGGACATGACAGTCACAGTGCAGGCTCCCTGAGGTGTTTTCTCCAAGAAGGGCCACTGGATCATGAGTGGCTGGAGGCAAGTGGTGGAAGAAAGGACAGGTCATGTCCATGCAGCAGCTGTATAGTGCTCTCTGACGACCTCCGGGGCCAGATACTAAATATTTTGGTTCTCCCACTTCTCGGTCCCTGAAGGGTTGAGATGGGCAGTTTCTTGCCAGTGACTGCTGGTCAAATAAGCTCTATTCAGCAAGGATGATCCTGGGGAAATCTGTGGCCACAACTCCTCTACCACCTGCCAACCTTTCCTAGGAAGGCAATTTGGCGGCATGGAGCCTGACCCAGCAGAAGTGAATCTGGGTCCAAGTCTCTGCTCAGGCCCTGGAAGCTCCTTGGGAGGTACGGAGGTGTTTGTGCTGGCAGGATACTCATCAACCTGTCCACAAATCCTACATAAATGCCTGGGTGGAGGGCCCCTCTTCCCTGCCATCTTAGTCAGACTGCTTCTGCTGAAAGGAGAAATGATTCCAGACCCTCTGCTATCCCTCAGGGGAACAGGTCATGTGATGCCAAGACTCCTGGAATCCAGTGCTGCTTACGCCACCCAGTCAATGGAGTCTGTACAAATGTGAGCATCTCCCTTCCCCAGAAGACCTAGGATGGCATGACAAGAATGCAGGTCTGTGCCAAATGGGGCATGTGCCTAGCAGGCCTGCTTGGGTGAGCCTGGAAGTGGGGTGGGGAAAAGTCAGGAACTGAGATGCAGACTGGAGGGATCCTTCCCACATCTGGGGGACTGTCTCCAGTCTTAGGTTTTCACTGCTGATGAACTAGCTGGTTTCACTCACACCTCAGCAACAAAACCCTGTATTTAAGTGGCCAATTCTAGAGATTGGACTAGAGAGAGCAAAGGAGTGTGGTTACATCTCCCCGGGGAGGTGGCGGTTACTTGCTGCCTCATCAGGGGGCTGGCTGGCCCCCCCAGAGCTCCTGGCAGTGGTAGGCAGAGCTCCAATTCTGGCCTCCAACCTGGATTCATTCTGACCCCAGCTCAAATCTGTGGTTGGGCTTCACCTAGTGGGTCTTCCCCCAAGAAGGTGCGAGGTTGGATCTGCAGGGATAAAACAGATGGTAAAGGGAAAGGGAAAGAGCAGGTTTTCCAATGCCTCTCTCACTCCCATTACCCAGTGGATGGAACGCCACGGTATGGGTTGGCCCCTAAGCTTGTGGCTTTCAGATACTGATGATGGGCTCAAGACCTCTAGAGTACCCTTCCCCTTCAACCCTCCCCTCATGGCACCCCTTACCTTGAAAGGCTTGCTTATTCCCACCACAGAATGTAGACTATTGCTATAGTAACAAAGGAGAAACTTATCCTCAGTCTCAGGGACATTGCTGATGTTGATGTATACCTGAAGGGGGGTGGACAGGAATGAGGTCAGCAACTCAGGCCTGGACCCCACCCAGCTCTCAGTGGCAGGTTATTCAATCCTCTGTTCCTTGCAGAAGACAGGAGTGCCCAGGCAAGCCTGTCTGCTGGAGACACAAACTATCTCAGGAAAGAGGGCAGATACCTGGTTCAGCCTGTCGCTGGAGAAGACCTGATTGTCTCTGACCCAGACATAGGACACGTAGTCGTTAATGTGGCGCAGTCCCACCTGTGGGAGGGGGATTGGGTGGTTACTGGGCTGGGAGGACAAGGGACCTACAGCAAGTACTAAGGCGATGCCATCATTCCTAGGGCTGGCCCTCATCCTGCATTCTCCATCTCTCAGCTGCAGCCTCTAGCAGGTGGGTGAGTGGCAGCGAGCTTCAGTTTTTGTGTCCAGTGCACATGAACGCTCAGGGTGGATAAGCCAGAAGGGTATGACTGATGAACTTCCCGCCACCTCATTACCTTGTAAAGTCCAATCCAGTCCCAGGGGCTGCTGAGGAAGTCTGCAGTCAAGGAGTAACTGATCAACATGTCATTCTCCATAGTCCACAGGCCTTCAGGTATCAGGGTGATCAGTGGGGCAGACACCAATGGCTTCAGCTACATACAGGGATGGGAAGGGGGTTGAAATCTCACAGCATTGTTCCTCTCTTTGCAATGAATGTCTTTACTATGCCCTTCAAACATGGCAGGGCCCATGGGGGGAGGAAGGGCGCCTGGGGCATGAGCACAGGACTCAGCTGGACTGACCTGATAAGTGTCAGACCCTGGGTGAGTCAACTAGAAAGAGAAAGGGAGAAAGGCCCAAAGGCTGTCAGAGTGTAGCTGGCTTTGCCAGGGCAGGTGGAGCTGGGGGGCAGGTGGGTGCTGACAGCCAAGTGCTGAGAGATGAGGGTGGGGAGAGAATATGAGAACTGCATAAGTTTAAGAAAGCAGCCAGGTGGCTGGCTTCCACGGTCCTGATCCAAAGGCCCAAATCTAGTTTTGCAGAGTAGAGAGTGTTGTGCTCCAGTGAGAACATCTATAGGAATGTGGAAACACCTAATAGGATAAAGACACAAAAATCGTAGGAAAAGGTAGGGCAGCCAGAAGTGTGAAGGAGGTTACTGCCACCCCGTTCACTAGATGGCAGATACAGATGGAGGGAGCTCCCTTTGCAACCTGATCCAGGTATGTTTAGGATGAATAAAAGGAAGTGCTACTTCGCATGGTAGGTAATAAGTGTAATGGAAATCATTAGTCCCTAGGGACAGTAAGGGGAAATGGAAACCTGTTCACAAAAGGTTTGAACACGTTTTTGACAGGCAGCCATCAACGGCTCAGAAGACGACTGGGATACCTGACCTGAGAGGAAAGGCAATCATGGCCTCCTCCTGGTGTTCCCTGGGGAATCTGCTGACATTAGAGTCCAGGGCTGGAGGGTTTGGGGCTGTGGCCAGCATGGCTCTCCTCTGCCCAGGGCCAGGTAGCCGAGAAGTTCACCTCCAAGTCAAAGGTGCCGGTCACTGGCTTATGGTCACTGATGCTGTATATCATGTGGCTGATGTAGCTCCTCAGAGACAGGAGGAAGTGAGGGGCCAGCTGCCTGGAAGTGTGGGGTTCAGCCTGGGGCTGCCGCTTCAGCCTCCACAGGATGCGGTCGGTCCATGCAGGCTTGCGTTTTTTCTCACTGGGGTAGGCAAGGGGAGAATGGGGAGAGAAGAAAGGGTTGGCATGAGAGCAGGCTGGCATACTCCCCTGAGCCTTCTGGAGCCACTCACACCAGAATACACACCAGTGGCCATGTAGTCCCTGGGCCAGGTGGAGGGTGCCCAACAGAATCAAAAGTGAGCTGTCCAGACCCCTCAGTCTAGTCTACATTTTAAGGCTCGAACTGTGACTCAGAAACATACCATTTCAAACTTTTTCTACAGGCGGAAGAATTGAGACTTAGAGGGGAAGTAACTTTCCCAAAGTCACAAAGCCACTGAGTGGCAGAGCCAGGATTCAAAGTGGTATGACCGCAGAGCACGCGTTCTAAGCCAACCCCTCTTAGGTCTCAGCTTCCTCATCTGTAAAATGGAGATAACAACAGTTACCTCATTGGGTTGCTGAGACAACTGCATGGATAAATGTCATTTGTGAGAAATCACAGAAGTATTCATGTAGAACTTGGTACAAAATAAGCTCTCTGCAGACACTGACTATTCATGACTCTGTTCTCAGGAGTCACCTGAGAGGGCTTCCACCTGTCCTTCACACCTCTAGCTTCCCTAAGGAGCTGACAGGTGCACAGCCCTTGGAGACGAGTCCTTCACTCCCCAAACTGCAGTTGCCACGAGTCCAGTAAGTCTCTGACTCCTAACCCAGCCCTGCCCAAGCAGCTAATATGGACTTCTGAGATCTAAATGGGGAGCCTAAGTTCTAGAATGGGGAGGACAGTTGCTGTGTCTGGATTCTGTCCCCTTGGTTTTGAATGAAGACAAGTAAAGTCTCGTTAGGTGGTTCCTTACTTTAATATCTCCTTCCCTCCAGAATATTGTTCTAGCTCCCAGACGTGGCTTTCTTTCAAGGTACCCAGGAGTCAGATGCTCCAATACCTTATCTCCCACCACTGCCAGACCCCCGACCTTGGCAACTCTTTAATTATGCCCTTTTTGCTTCCTAGAATCCCTTTTTCACCTGGGAGTGGCCCGATTCCAACACTGTCTTTGTCATAAAGTCATCCCCTTTCTGCTTGCAAGGCATTTTACACCTGTACTATAATTATGTCTTAGTGTCTTCCATTTCCCAGTCAGCCTATCAGTTGTGAGTTCTGAGGGCAAGATCTAGAGTCTCCTGTGTATCCTTCACATTATTTCAGAACCTAGCACACAGCAGGTCCTCAATGAATGCCTGTGAAACCAAACTAACTAAAAACCTCCACCCTGGACCTCCCTCCTCAAAATGACATTCAAATCCTAATGAAATCAGTTTGAAATGCTATTTTTGTTTTCTACTTCATTTGATTTCTATTTTTTTTAAAGATTTATTTATTTATGTACACAGAACTGGGGTACAGGACAGAGGTGCAGAGGTGGTGAGACAGACTGGGGATAACAGGCCAACTGACCAAGTGCACTGCTGAGGAGAGAAGCGGGTGGTGACACAAGCTATGCAATCTCTATTGACTGACATATTCCGGATAGAGACGGAAGTGCTCTGAAAAATCAGAATTTCCATGCTAACTTATGTTATGACCTCCCTTTTTTGTAATATCAAAATATTCTAAGCAACCATCAGCTTACAACCAGATTGCTTAGCCTCATAAGGCGCTGCCTGGCTCAGGTGAGCAAGCACTGCCCAAGACAGGAAATTCCTCTAGAAAGCAAAAAATAATATTACAATTGGTTGATTAATAAAAACAATTATAACACAATCAATATTGTAAGACAAGGCAGTACTACAACATGCTAAAAAATAATTAAAGTTCTTTTACTGCCTGCACCAGAGCCCAAATCTTATCACTCTACCCTCTTACTTAAGCTTTTATTGCTCAGTCTCTTTAAATGAGGAATCTTACTATCTCCCTTAGTGATTTATCTACCAGAAAACTCCTCTTCGACCTTACTTTACCCTCTTTCACAACTTCTCCTTGGCCCTCAACCTCATCTTATCTCCCTTCACATCTCCAGCCCAGCCTCCACCCTAGTCCTCAACTTTACTTTAACCTCTAAGATGTCTCGATGAGAATGAAGATCATTAAATAGCATTTAAGGTTTAAAGGCACTTTATTTTAGCCAGTCAACACTGTAGTAAATATAACAATGTTAACCTTAAATTTTATGAATTTATGTACCAATCTTAGCTTTAATAGATTGATTTTTAAGAATAATGAATGTTATATCTCAGCTAAAGGGCAATATGACCCTAAACTATTCTTAGAAAAAAAAGAGATGATTATAATCTCTCAGCCCAGCTCATGTGCTGACCTCATCCCACTGCTTGCTCCTAATGTATAAAATAAACCTCTGCTGAAGGCAGAGCAGGAAGACTTGCACCCAACTCCAATTGCCGTGTCTTCCTCGCTCCCATTTTCCCCTTTTCTCCTTTTCCCCTTTTTAGGAATCTCCACTCGCTGACGCTGCTCCCACCTTGAGACCCTGCCTGTTCTGCCCTCCAATAATCCGTGATCATGGAACAAAGAGTCCCCGAAAGGGCGGATCAGGAGAGGTGTGCTGTGCCATGTGGGTCACCTCCAGGGCGGGGATCGAACTCATGCTGAAGTGGCTTTAGCTTCTTAGTGCTGTGCTTTAACCCACTGTGCCACCAGGGAGGGCCCTGATTACTATATATTTTTTAAAGATGTATTTATTTATACATACAGAACTGGGGTATAGGCTAGATGTGCAGGGGCGGTGAGAGGATTCACCAGACAGAGAAGGGAGCAGAACAGGGCGACTGAGGAAGTACACTGCTGAGGGGAGCAGCGGGCAAGTCTGGAGAGGTCTGTTGTGCCCTGTGGGTTAATTCTTTGGCTGAGGATAGAACTCACTCTGCAGTGACTGATGACAGCTTCCTAGTGCTGAGACTTAACCCACTGCACCACCAGAGGGGCCCTGATTACTATTTAAAAAAAATCTGGTGTACCTGTCACTACAATAGTTTTCTAACAGTATAGGCAGATGGTATCACTGTTGAAGTCAGACTCTAGAATCAGAGACCAGTTAAGGAAGGGTGTGGCTCTGTTAATTAAGAGCTATGTGGTCCTGGGTTGCTGAGGATTTGGGGAGACTGGCACACTCTCTAAAAAGGATTCCCTTTTAGAGAACTTCCCTTCCCTTTGTCCATATACTGCATCTCTTTCATCTGCCTGTTTCCGAGTTACATTTTTTTTTTAAAGATTTATTTATTTATGCATATAAGAACTGGGGTGTAGCAGAGGTGTGCGGAGGGTGAGAGGATTCACACAGAGACAGAGTGGGGAGCAGAACAGGCAGACTGACTGAAATACACTGCTGAGGGGAGCAGTGGGCGGGACAGGAGAGGGCTGTTGAGCCATATAGGTCACCTCTTTGGCCCCTGATGGAATTCATACTGCAGTGGCTGGTGACAGCTTAATAGTGTTGAGACTTAACTCCTGTGCCACCAGGGGGGCCCCCAGAGTTATATTCTTTTATGATAAACCAATAATCTTTACCTTAAAAAAAAGCTATGTACCCTTGGGCAAGTGACTTCACTCCAAGCCTCTGTTTTCTTCAAGTCTAAGATGGAGTGATAACCCTGCTTACTTCAAAGAGCCACTGTGAGGATTAAATAAACTACGGTGCATCAAGGGAGTGGTCTGGAAGTGCTAACTGGCTAAACCACTTTTGCTTGTGGGTTCCCTGGATTGTTTCAACCTTTTCCTCTTCTGAGGAATGTCCAGAGGACATTGGGATGTGGGCATGTTCCCATCCCAGAGACTACTGTCACTAATCCTCTGAATCCACTTTAGATATTCACTGTTTAGCAATGCTTAGATATGGTAATGGACTACAGAAACACACCACTCTCCCTTTCAAAGCATTTCCTTTCCCAACTTCCCTATCATGCTTAAGGGCCCATATTTGCTCTCATGGCAAGGTCCTCCTCAATTCCTGACCACAGCCTATTTCTTCTTCCTCCTCAGTACCACAGGCTGTCTCCCTTTCCACATCTCATCAACAGATACAAACATAAATATTGTTCATTCTTTCAATCTAGTTTTCCTGAGCCCTTATTATATGCCAGGTAATTGGGGGTACAATAAATGGGATTGATAAGGTCCTTGAAAAGCTTGTTTGACAAACAAGAGAAACAAATCAGCAAAATAAATATGTACAAATTAAATATTACACAACCCCCCCTTTCTTTTTTTTAAAAAAAAAAAACAGCTAAAAATAGGGTTCTTCTGTGCACTGTGATAGGTCTCTCACAGACTGTTCCAATCTTTCCAACAATCTTATTAGAAGTCACATTTTTATCCTATGAAAAGCTGAAACTCAAGAGAGGTCACCCTGTCCAGGTGGAAGCTGGATGCTTGCCCAGGTGTGCTGACTCACATCTGACGTCTTCCACTGCACTCGAGTACAGACCTCCATTCTGCGTGGTCAATTTCCAACAGAACGGTCTTACATATAATATGTATTCTGGGAGAGGAACTAATTTTTTTTTTTTTTTTTTTTGCTAAAGAGTCATGTCCCAGTGTAAGAACTGTTTCTGGATATTAGAATGCCATTACTTAAAAATATAAAAAAAAATTAAAACCCACAACAGCTCTGCAAGTTTCTTTTGATTAAAAAGCCTAGAAAATAGCCAATGTAATGCCCCAGAAACAGTGCTATGCCCCAACCCCTGGGTTGGTAAGCACTCATACCTTTGGCATTCTGTAGATGGCTTTTACAGTCTCATGTAACTAGACACAGATTTTGATGAGATTGACCCTAATATCCTCTGCTTACCGCCTAATAGAAAGATTGGTTGTGCTCATGTAAACTGTAACAAAACCCTACTGCAATCCCTGACCTGTACAGGATTTTCTGCCCTCAGCCCTATTACTCTCCTTTGTAATAGAATTAACCTTGTTTCTATTACAGCTTGACTCAGGGGTCCTGCCATGGCTGGGCAGAGCTGTCTACCATGCCCAGCACACAACTCGGTCACTTGTACAGCTGGGTCAGGATCTGCTCGGGTGCCAGTCAGTGCTGCTTGCCTGCCTGGAATGCCTGCCTTGCCTTCTGCCAAATCTGCCTCCTTGAAAACCACTCTGACTGACTCCTTCTGGATTTTCAGCTGCCTTCATTACCACTGGCTCCAACCTCCTTTGGCACTTCTGCACAGAGTCCTGAAACCCTCTATTGGCCAATTCCTGGACTTGACAGTATTTGAGTCTCTTTGCCATGGGTGGGTTCTGCCACTAGACTCACTGCTTCTAACATAATCTAGGCACCATGTTATGCCCTAACGTAACGGCAGAAATCAGATTCAGTCTCTATGCTCTAAGCAATATAGCAAGAAAGGTACACTATCTTAAAAGTAACATTTAAAGTATTGTTGTGCAAGGTATGGAGGGAGCATTAGGGTAGCTGAGAAATCTTGGTGAGATGGGGAAGAGTCAGGGAAGGCTTCCTAGCAGAGGTAGTGTCTTCTTTTTTTAAGATTTATTTATTTATGCATACGGAACTGGGGTTTAGGTGCAGTGAGAGGATTCAACAAAGACAGAGTGGGGAGCAGAACAGGCAGATCGATGAAGTACACTGCCGAGAGGAGCAGCGGACTGGTCAGTAGAGGTCTGTCATGCCATGTGGGTAACCTCTAGGGCTGGGGACTGAACTTGCACTGAAGCGGCTACAGATTGCCTGCAGTGCTGCGCTTTAACCAGCTGCACCACCAGGGAGGGCTCAGATAATGTCTTAACTGGGTTTTCAAGGATGACTAACAGTCTCATTAGACACAAATGTTTCTGTTCTCCATATGTGTTCCAGGCCCTGTCCAGGACCTCCTAGCTGCCTCTAGACCATAGAGGAATATTTCAGTGATGATGTCCCCTTATTAAGTCCCCCATTCCTGTCCTTTTTTTCCTGGGCTTGGGGAAGGGAATATTCATCACTTACTCTGCTACTAACTTATGCAGGTATTCTGAGATTCAGTTTCCTTATTTTTTAAACTTAAAAAAAAAGTTTATTTTTACATCATTTTGTGCCTTTCCCCATCTCAGTTGACCCTGTGGCTTCCCATCACCAATTCACCCTGGGGCCATCACCATAGTCCCGTGCACCCCCCCCACCCCATTTTTGATCCCATTCTCCATTCCACTCTCGTAAAATGTCTTTGGTATATAGCTGTTCATTGTCATTATTATTTTCTCCCATGGTTCTTTATACTCCTGTTATGAATGAAACCATTCAGTATTTTTCCTTTCCTTTCTGGCCTATCTAAGCCAGATCCCTTCTAGCTCCATCCATGTTGCTGCAAAAGGCATGTCTTTATCTTTTTTGGTTGCTGAGTAATATTCCATTGTGTATAGGTACCACATCTTTTCAATCCAGTCATCTACTTTTAGGCCTTCGGGTTGTTTCCATGTCTTTCCTATTGTAAATATAGCAGCAATATCAGTGTCCTTATTTTTAATCTACCTGATGAGGATATGGCAAGAATGAAGTGAAGCCGTTAGATAAAGCCCTTTGTACAATGCTTGGCACATGTAAGTGTTCAGTAACAGCTGTCACAATGTGGACTGTATGTATCTATTAGGTGAAATATTTGCCCCATCTTAGCAAGACTTTGCTGTCTCTATCTGTCCTTTTTGCTGCTGCTGGACAAGAATGGCTGAGAATTCCATGGCACTGTGGGTCAGAGGGAAGCACTGTGGGCCACACAGTCCAGAGAATCAGGTCTGTTTGAGCTCTGCCATCACCAGCTAGTTCTTTAACATTTTTGAGTCTCTACCCAACGCCAGTCCCTGTCAACTCCAGCCTACGTGCAGGTGTGTGCAAGGACGTCCAGTCCGGGGAGGTCTCACTAGCACAGCCATGGGCAAAGGACACCTGGCCTCCTCTCAGTGACTCTTTTCCTGCCGGCAAGTGCGATTTTGAAGTCAACTGGCAGAGGATGCTACCAGTCTTCCCAGCTGAGGCCTTACGCTCCCATAATGGCTCTCATTTCCAATGGAGGGCTAGGGAAACCAGCAGTCTCCTGAAGCTGCGGAGCTCGGCCAGCCAGCCAGCTGCACCCTGCCCTCTTACCTCCTTCTGGCCTACTCTGTTGCCCAGGCTGGACGCTGTTTCCAGTGTTCATGGCTTCTTTTTATGTGTACTGCCCTGGCCATGACCCCATGCTGTCTTGCTCCACACTCCCGAAATGGCTCACCTACTCCTCTCTCTTTGGCAGGAGTAATGTGGCTCTACCATACGACTTGCAGCTCTGGACCAGCCGTTCTACCTCTTCCCTGACCTGGTGGTGGAGAGACCTACTCATACTCTAAGTCCCAGAGGCCTGGGCTGCCCTGGAGGGCCACGTACCTCCCTCAACACAGCCCTACAAGGAGGAATGAATGAAGGAGCTGTTCTAGGTGAAACACAAAGCCTCCTAACATGTAAGGGATTTTTTTTTAAATAAATATAATAGTTTATTTTTACATCATTTTGTACATTTTTTTTTCATCTCCATTGTAATCCCCGTGGGTTTCCCATCACCGAGTGACCCATGTGCCATCGGTAAGGGATTCTTTTTCTTCAAATAGTTGAGGATGTTTGCCCTAAATTAGGTTGGGGTCTTCTTGTCAGAGCTGCTTTTGCCCCTTCCTCTGCCTAAGCTTTGCGTTCTGGAGGTTACCTGGCCTCTTCTCAGCTTTATTGAAAGGTTTTCAGTAAAACCACCAACTAATACATATTATCTAAACATAACAGCAGTTATCACAGTGGTTGCCAGTCTTTCAATCTCAACTCCGTTTCATACATGTCAAAACTGAGGCCTAGGTACCTTATCCAAGGTCACACAGCTGAGGCGGCGCTACTAGCGGCACCACCGCGCGCTGACCTCAAACATTCCTCCAGAGCACTGCTACTCCTTCATTTTCCAAAACAGGACCTGGCCTACTCATGGGCTGGGGTAACAGGACTTAATATCAGTGCCTGGTTGCCCCTCCACCCCCAATGTTGAGGGAGGACCAGAAAGCCCTGGGAATTGGGGCCAGGGGTTACTAGAATACACAAATGCAGTCCCTGGAAAGTCAGGAATCAGCTGCCTCCCCACTCCTTTGGCGCTGCCTGGCCCCTCCCCACCCCCACCCTCACTAGCACTGGCTCGCTCTGCTGTTTCTGCAGGCAAACTGGGAGAGCTCTGACAGCTCCTGAAGGAGGAGGCACCAGTCCTGAGGTGATGACTGGATCTATTCCTGCTTTTCTAACACTTCTATTCTGAGGCAGCTCTGGCTGCTACTAGGGCCAGCACAGCCTGCCTTTCCAGGCCTTCTGGCCTCCCACTTCCACCTCACAAGCTAATTCCAGATCTGCTGCAGGCTGATCCTCTCCTGGGAAGCCCCCTCACCTGGTGTCATAGTTGTTGGTGTTCTTATCAAACTTGTAGGTGGGTGGGAAGAGCAGGGGGCCCTCCTGGAACTCCCGGAGCAGTGGGTCGCATTTCTTGGCAATGCTGAGCTGTAGAGAAAGGCACAGTCCTGTCTCCCAGTAATCCTGACCCACTGGCTGACCACATCAGCTTCATTCAAGAGGTTGGCACATGCCTTGTCAAGTAAGTGGGGCAAGATTCAAGCAACGCCACTTCACTTCCTCACTGGCTGCCTCAGCACCCCACCCCTAGGAGAAAAGCTGAATTTCTTCTGATAAACATTACCCCACAACCCCAAGGTAGGCAGGGGCCTGCCATTTTCCATTCTTTGACTATATGGACCGGGCTTTGAATTCCATCTCTCTGGAAGAGACATGTGTCAGAAGGAAAGCTGGGGTACCCAAGGTTCCCTAAAGGGGGTGGTATCTCATCTGCCAGGAGGCAAGCAAGCCTGGGGGTGGGAAAGACAACAGGCATCTAAGAGGGTTGATGCAGTGCAGGGCCATGACAGCCTTTCTGGCTCCCACACTGGCAGCTGTCGCCCAGCTCCTGTAGGTGAAGACCAGGCTCTGGTCTTCACCAGCCTCAGGTGCAAAGCCCGGTTAGATACCTCCTTGTCCAGGAACAGGGATTCAGAGCCAAGGGAAAGAACAGGTGCTAGGGAACCTGAACAATGCACCACACATGTCATGTTGGACTTCTACCAAGGCCCTCCGCACCCTCCCCTGGTTAGGTACCTGATCCTTCTCCCACAGGTCACAGTAGCACTGATTTTTTATGGCTTCCCGAACAAACTGCATCCCAAAGTCCTCAATCCGAAAGTTCATGTCTCCAAACCAGAGGATGAGGCTTCAGGAAGGAAGGAAGTCAGCCTAAGAGTTTGTAATGAAGTCAGAGAGGGGAAGAGCAACAGGTGGTTTGGGCTTGCTCATTCCTGGGGCTGCCCATGTGTGGAAAGTTCAGGGGCAGGTGAGGAGCCAGCGCGTGAGATCAGGTGAAGACAGGGCGTCGGCCCAACAGGACTGTACTATGACTTCCACCCTACCGCTTAAGTCAAAGAGTTCACCCTGGAGGGCAAGTGGCCAATGTGGAGCAGCCAGTCTCGCCCACCCTTCTTCCTGTGCAACTAGTTACCACATAAGGCTGAGAAACAGCCCTTCTGGTGATCTCGGGAACCACAAGGTCCTTGACCTGGGATGTTCAGAAGTATCCAGGGTATCTAGGAGGACGGGCTAGGGTAAGGGAAGGGGACCTAGATTCAGGCTGACAAAACTGAACAGAAGAGCAGATGGTTCAACTGGGTGATGAATCCTAGACTAACTGGTCAGGAAGCTAGCCTGGGCTGGCATGGGGGTGAGGGCGAGGGTGGCAGTTGGCAACTGCGTGCTCACTCATGGTCCAGGATGTTAGGGATTTCTTGACCCTCAAAATTCTGCATCTCCAGGATTCGGTCGAAGTGCTCTAGGCGCTGGTCGTTGTTAGCCATGTGTGGGGGCAGGTGGCAGTTGATGATGCTGACATAATAGCCGTAGAGCTTCAGGCAGATGTTGACGCCCCCTTTGTTCCCCTGGTAGGATAGGTGGGCAGAAGGGTGGGAAACACCTCTCTTTTCCCATCCTAGGCCTGAAGGGAGATGAAGGTCTCACCTCCTGCAGGATCTCCCAGGGCCAGACACTCAGCTCCCCAGAGTGATCTTTCCATCCCCAGAGCCCAGCTCACCCAGCCCAAAGTCTCAGGGATGCTCCCTCTGAGGTGGGGAAGCAGGTAGGCAGGGCGCTGGCCCAGAAGGAGTACAACACTGATCTATCCCTTGCTCCCCGTCCTTCCCAGGCAATGAAGGGAGCCTCCCAGTTCATGATACACACAACAGCTCAGTCCTTACCCAGTACCCAAAAAGGCCGGTGGGGGTGGATTTAGTAGAGAGGATCTGGATAAAGGGCAAATGCTGATACTTGGCAAAGACCAGTAAGAGGAGTCCCTGCATGCGGACACAGGAGACCTGCAGGACAGGGAGGGCAACAGTCATTCATTTCTCTGCACAGGCTAAGTGTATCCCTGCCGGGTCCTGTACTAGAGGGCTCTGAGTCAACCCAATCCATGCCCCAGGGTCTACGGTATCTCAGTGTGGGTATCCGAGTTTCACTTCCTTAGCTACCAACTGATGCATTCTGAGAGCTGAGAAGTTTCCGTTTCTGTCCTTGAGCCTTAGGGTACAAGTGAGAGAACACAGGCTTCTGAGAAACCCAGGAGGGCATCTTCAGAGTAGTCCCATACATGCTAGGCACTAACTCACAGATGCCCTCTGGAGATCCTGTAGACCTCTTGGGTTAGCAATCTGAGGACAAGGGCTTCCACGAAGAACATAACTATAAACAAAGGATAGGGGTTAGGTGGTGAGATGTGGGCTCAAATCCTGGCTTGGGCTCTAAGCATTTTATATGAAACAAGTGTCTCAGCCTGTTTTCTGACTGATACAGTAGGGATCTATTTCACAGAGGCTGGAAGAATTAACTGACAGCTATTATTTTTTAGTTTAAGAATTCTTAAAAGTAAATGCAGGGAAGGGGTAGAAGAGGGCATTCTGGTTTGCTGGAAATATTCTGTATCTTGACTTGACTAGTAACATGGGTGTATATACATCTAAAACCCCATCAAACTGTATACTTTATTTCTGCAGCTGACCTTGCAGCTCAGTGGAAAAAATTAAGAATATATCTCCCCCTGCCCAATAACTGTAGACTGAAGGCAACGCAGAGGGAGGGAGCGTAAGGAAGGATGTGTGTTTACAGGCCAGGGATATAGCAACCACCTACTGGTGCAATTTATGTAATTTAATCTTCACACCACCCCCATAAGGAATCACTTATAGTTTTACAGATGAAGGACTAAGGCTCAGGAGACCAAGGAATCCACTGGACTACCTGTATAATGACATCCAGGGGTAGGCCTGACCAACTCTTTGTTCTCTATGCTCACGGAGCTGGAGTGGGAATGGTCACCGTCAGTGCCCTCTCCTCTCTCAGCTTCAGGCTGCCTACACCCACCGCCCGAGTAGCTGTTTCCGGAGCAAGAGGTGCAGAGGCCAAGGAGGAAATCCCCGGGTGGGGAGGGTGGGGAGCCTGACCGGGCCTTCCAGGAATTATGAAATTTGATCCTGCAGGCCAGGCACTCTGGCACAGGGAAGAAGTCAAAGCAGGGGGTACCCCAAACTCAAGATTTAAGTAAGGGAAGTGTGAGAGCCCAGGTTTGGGCAGAAGTTGCTAGTGTGTCTGACCCCACCGGCTACCTCCAGTCCTGATTTCTTCTCTTCCCAAGCATATGTGATAATAGAAATGGGGGAAAGTCTGGACTATGGGGGACAGATTCCCAGGGAACCGAACAAGATTCAGGAAGAGTTCAGAGCTTAATCCTAATCTCAGAGCAGGTTAGGGTCACTCACTGAGCTGTACAAAGCACCAGTGTACTTAGTGAAACTGGGAGGGGGCAAGGAGGCTTGGTGAGTAGGAGGGTGGGGAGGGACTGGAAAGTGTCAGACTGGGAGAAAGGGTGGGGTTGTGGGGATAGGCAGGAGACAAGGAGGGGAAGTTCTAGTCCGAAGGAAATGAAGTAGGCGGAGCTAAGGAAGGGCCTTGAGGGAGGTGCTTGGGAGCCCTGGAGCTCCTTAACTTATGGTTGGCAAATTCCTGTATAAGGAATAGGCTCAACCCTTCCCCTCAACTAATGGGTGGGCAAAGGAGGCTCGTGGGCTTCCTTCCCGAGCCAGGTCCTCAGGCTGGTCTTCCAACCCCAGGAGGTTGCCTAGGTAGAAAGGGTTGTGCCCTTATTACAGCTGAGCTAATTTCCCTGGCTCAATTCCAATGAACCAATTCCCTGCCAGCGAGCCTGCAGTGTTGGGAGGGAGTGGGTGGTGAGAGAAGTAATTCTGCCCTGTGAGGGGATCTAGTCCAAGTTTGTGGGAGGTGATTTGGAATGATGCAAGGGCCCTGGGGCTGGCCTCTTGGAGCCCTCAGCAATAGGGCCATATCTCTTATTTCCTCTTCGGAGCTTAGCTTTGACCTCGGGAGGACTTTGCCCTCTCCAGCCTAGCCCCACCCCCCCCCAGCCAAACTAGGCTAAACAATTAATTCTGGAGAAATCCAGTTACCCAAGGTAAAGAATAGAGAACTTCTGGTACTTTCAAAAAGCACTGCACCAGATACTTTAAAGAGCCTGTGTTTCATCCCTCAGCTATGCAGGACAGAAAAGTATCAATGCTGCAATCTAGAGACTTCCTGTGGATTCTCCTAGTGTCCAGAGATTTTCCAAAGAATATGGGTTCTTCAGACTAAGAGCCCCTTTCTTTTATACCAGCCTTCCCTCTCCTAGCCGCTGAGACCCCAAGAATTTGAGGTGCATGGACACCCTCTCATATCAGCAGCTAGCTATGGGATAGGAATCAGTTTTAGACTTCACAGTATAGCAATACAGTATAATAGTTAAGAATATGGGCTATGAAATTTCATAAGATCTGGATCCAAATTCCAGATAGCCTGATTTCTAGGTTTTGGTTTTATCTGCAAAATACTTCAATAAAGTTAAGACATTAAAATAATGTATATATAAAGAGCTTATTTATATTACGAAACACAGAGGAAGCAGTGGCTAAGTGGTAGCAATTACTATACTCAGAGATTTTAGTCTGGTAGAGACTGAAGACGGGTAGGCACTGAGGTCTATGCCTATTACGCCTCCCTCAGGAATGCCCTCACCTGAAAAATATCAAGGGGTTAAACTAACCCCTGGGTCAGTTTTCAGCTCCAGCTACTTTAGAAAGGCACAGGCAGGCAGCAGCTCCAGGGAGCCAGGTGCAGCTGAGGTACAGGGCTTTATATCAGTGGGAAACAGCAGAAAAACCCGACAGGGAAGCCAAAGGACCGGGGTTAGTGGCAAGAGGTGAGACACATTCCAACTGCCCATGAATTTGTAAGTTACCTTCACGAAGCATAGAGGGGAAAGCACATCCATGAAGAAACTGCTCCAAGAGTCTTCAAAGGCAGTATCAGAAATGAGGCTCATGATCCCACAGTTCTTTTCCTGCAAACTGTCCATTCCAAGTCAGAAGGTCTCCTCTGGTCTGGAGGGTACTGTCTCTACCAGAGACAGTACTGCCCTCACCAGACTGTCAAGCCTTGGGTTCTGATGACCAGAGTGATCTCTCCCTCCTCTAGCTGCTAACTGCCAACCCCCTGCTATTGCAGACCCGGGACAAGAGATACTGACTGGCTTTGATGCGGGCTGAAAGGTCTTAGTCTTCAGACTTCAGAGGTTAGTTATAGGGGTTTCCTATAGGACAGCTTGGGACTGGTCAGGTTTAGCTGGTATCTCAGATAAAAGGGTAAAAGCTGCAGGCACCTACCCAATGACATACATGTCCAGATTCAGGTTCTGATTGTTCAGCTGTAGCAGCTCATCCAGGTCTAAAGGGGGTGCTGCAGAGGCCACATTCCATGTCACAACATGTATGCTGTGGAAGGAATGCAAAGGGATGAAGTGGGGAGAAAAGAATCTGTGTGCAAGTAACGAACAAGGGTACTAATGTCTGTACCATAAACCACTGTAATCATAATAGGAAATTCAAGTTTCTGCATCTGCTGGTAGGAACAGGGGTACTGAACTATAAACTTTTTGTCGTCATCTTCACCTTTGTCACTTTGAAGTAGAAAATTCCCCCAGGGATTGTCTCATCCAACCCGTGGACACACAGGTGCCCATACCTGGCAGAACTGTGCTGCTGCAATAGCATAGCTGCTGAAGTGGGCCCAAAGGATTCAGTCAGTCAAAGGAAGGGTGAGGATAGGGTAGATGCTCAGCAATTATCTATGGCTCAATCAGCACCTTCACAAACCCCACACTCTTCACTCCATAGGTTCCTAAAACCAGAAGAAATTCTGGAGCTTCAGTTTTCTACCTTCTGAGAGGCCTCAGCACTGCACAACAGGGGAATTTTAAAAACGACAGATAACACCACATTCTTTCCTCCACCCCAGAAGATCACTGGAATAAAACCAATTCTGCATTTAGTATTCCTGGGAGCCTAAGAAGAAAAACTGTAAACAGGTTTCTCAAAATCTCCCTCAAGAGTCTTCCCTGTCTTGGGAAAAGTCATCCCCACTCTACTTCATATAAACCCTAGGGAAGAAACAGCACTAGATTAACCGCTTGCAAGAACACTGGAGCATGTCAAGAGACTCAAGGGAAAGGAGAGACTTGCATATCTCTTCAACTGAATAGTCACAGCAGACCCTCCAAGACCAAGAGCAGCAATCCTAGGTACACTACCAGGAGGACCTGCAACAGATGAAAATCTAGAACAGGAGAGGGTACTGTGGGACCGGTGAAAAGGGCAGGATGTCCTCAAAACATCTCTTTTCCACCAACCCTTGTTCTTAGAAGTTCACATTCCAAAAAAGCACAACTGAAAGGAACTCTAGACCACTTAGAGCAACTTCCTGCCTCTCCCTAAGAACAGCAACACAATACAAAAAATCACCTTCCCAGGCATTCAGCCAGAGATTCTGCAATTCATTTGTTTACGGTCTCCCCCTGCTGTCCAACGGAGGATTAAGACAGGCAGCCCTTTTATTCCAAGGCCCCTTGTTTTCCCACGCACTCCTTCTAAGTGAATCTAGAGCAAAAGCAGGAATTTCTCGCCCCCACTTCCAGGTCCCACAATTAGCAGGCAAATACTTGCACCGTGATTTGCACTAAGTTGGTGGTAACAATAGCGCTTGTTCTTTAAAGAGAAAGCATGGGACCAGGCACTATCAGTGCACTAAGAACCTTACCTAAATCAATTTCAGGGAGTCACAAGGTGATCAGACTCACTCCATGATGTATGATTACAAGGAGGAAGGAACAAGAATTCTATTCTGAGTTGAGGGGAGAATGCTTTGCTATGTTTTGCACCTCAAGCAACCCAACACGGTTACTGCTTCCAAATGCCGTGTGAGACATCTCGGGGTCCCCCTGAGCTTGCCAGCGAGTTTGGGGGCGGCGCGCGCCTGAGGTCTCCCATTGCCTAGTTCACGCTGGCCCTGGGGAATTTGGGGGTCACTGGGCCAGAAGCAGCCCTTTGCCCCCGACCCGCAGTCCCGACAGAGGCAATGATCTCGCCCGAACAGGCCGGCCAATCCGCAGCAGCCTTCCTCACCTGAGCTTCCTGCCTTTCGAGTCAGTCGGCTTCCGTGGATTCACGGTCGCCATCGTCCCCGCGCGGTGGCCCAGCCGGCTCGCGTGTCCCCGCCCCGGCCGGCCCAGGCCTGACAGCCCCCTCCCGGCCGCAGTTCCTGGCCAGCTCACTCTCGCCGCCGGAATATTTTTCTTCCGGATTCTGACCCTCCACCTCGGCTTCCGTAAGAGGCGGGGCCTGAGCGCCCGGAGGGCTCTGGGTGGTGTGACCCAGCAGAAGGGGCGGGGCCGTCCAGCGAGCGCGAAAGGGTGAAAGGCAGAGAGCAAAGACCCCTTGGGAATAAGGGACGTCAAAGAGGCGGGCTTCGGGTCATCGGAACTCTACGCAACACTGCCCCGCCCCGACGCCGCCGCCGCCGCCCACCGCGGCTCCCAGGGAGCCCCGCGCGAGGCCGGCAGGGGGAAGCGTCTTCCGGCGGAAACTGTCGCCGCACCCTCTCCCGCGTTCTTTGCCCCCGCTCCTGTCAGTGCTGGTGGACCTGGGGCTCAGACCTCGGCGCTGTTTTCCCTCCGGCGTTCCAAAACCCCGAAACGAAAAGGGCGAGGGCGGGGTTGGTTAGTCCAACTACTGCCCACCCCACCCAACTGCAGATAATCGTCTTGTTGGTCATTTAACTCCATTCACTCCATTCATAGGTTTCCACTCCCACAATTTTTTCCCCCCCAAATTGGACGTTTGGAGGTTCCTGGACTCTTAGACGATTAGTCATCAATGAATGAAAAATAAGCCACTGCCTTTACGGCCAAGTATAAAATGAAGATTATTTACTTTGCCAAGGATCCACTATGATTTCCTTTTTATTGCTGGTTCTTAAATCTTTTGCAGAAGCGGATGGGGGGGGGCAGAGTGGTGTAGGGGATTATTCTGACGATCGGATAAGAGCCATGATTTTCCCCAGAATATGCACACACAGATTTAACAAATTGCATGAGGCTCACAGATTCGGAAACCAAGAACTCATACTTTAAACGTTTTTCTTGGCAGGATGGGAAAAAGATATGAGGAGGGAAAACAAAAGCATAAAGTAAAAAATGGTCAAATTATTTTCTGATATACAATGTTTCTGTAAATAACAAGGGGATAATTTACCTGCAAAATTTTTCAGAACTTTTACCTTTTCCTAATTCTTCCCTGGTAAAATGAGAGACACATCAGCCAGTTTGAGGAGCTCTAAGGCATAAAATGGACATAAGGACATCACCAATAAGCTGGACTCCAGAAAGTCTGTCTAGGATTTTATTAGACTGCTTTTTTCCCCCAATATACCTGTATTGGAAGATTGAGACAAAAAGGCACAAACTCACATTAAATAAACATGTAACCTAATCAAGTCTACAAAGTGAATTTTGTAAAAGTAGCACTAGGAACAAACCAAAATAAGTCAGGGAGTCCCAGCAGGGACTGTAAGAGAAACTGGGAAGATATCCATGAGCCCACAATACTGACCCTGTCCCTGATCTCTGGGTGAGAGGCAGAGTCCAGCACCCCACCTACAGAACTGCCGCTTCCAACTGGGAGGATGACCCTGCAAATCTAGGGGAAGCGCTGGTCTGAAGGGGCGTGGCACATCATCAGGTACTACACTTGGGGCTAAGGCTTTCTTCATAAGCCCCTCTGGTAGTCAGTTTTGGGGGAGTGGGTTGGGAGGGAAAGGGGTTACTTAAAAGAAGCCGACGCTGTTGCCCAGCAGCAACACTATCCATAGGGATGAAACAGACCAGGGACATACCTCCCTTATGTTTATGTGAGCAGAACCCGGCTCTAGGCTTACCTCAGGAAATTCTAGCTGTTTGTGTGGATGCTTTCAAACTGGGGCAATAAATGGAGGTGGGAGGAGCCAGAGAAAAGGTAGATAAAGAGCAAGCCCCCACTAGAGCTGAAGTGATATGCTATAGATCTCACATGAGAGCTGAAGGAAGGAGACCTCTGCTGACCCTCAAGCCACATAAACAACTGTCTACTTAGAATTATCTTCACTTGTTTCTCCCAGGATAACCTACCTCTGAACTTCACCTAATTGATGAATGAAAAAGGGAAAGCTGTAAGCACGAGTATAATTATAGCTAATACAGAGCTTATAGGAAAACATTTACATTTTTCTCCAATTGGAATGCCTCTTCAGTTTTCCCAGTCAATGCTACCAGCAGTTGTGATGCTAATAATCAACTGATAATCAATTGTTGCAGATTCACTATAGATGCACAAGGTGAGGAGACTAAAAAGAAGGTGTAACAGGGTATCTCTTGGTCCCAAAAGGGCCTCAATGAAGGTCAGGGTTAACCATGATAAGAAGTCTGAATCTATCCATCCTTGTTCCAAGAGGGTCACAGGGAAGCATCCATTAGGATGTCACAGGTACAATCCTGAAAGACACTACCTTATTGCACTTAGAAATGAGTAAGGCAAAACAAACTGACGAAAACATAAAGGGTAAATCACCCCATCCTACTCCTTGCTCCCCAGCAGAGATTTGGTCTCTCACAGAGTTGCATCCAGGCTAGCATGGGCTGGGTTCTCTGCACACCTGGCCAACGTACTTCACTAGGTTTGGGAAATTTGATGTGGTACCACGGCTATCTCAGACTTTCCCAGTGGGAGGCATACTCAGGCTCTGCCAAGTGACAGAAAACGAAGTACTTAGCTTCTATCCCCTTCACCTGGACTCTCACCAGCCTACTTTGGTACAGTTCTGTACTACAATCAATAACTGATTTGATTGTCTAGGGCAGAACTCAGCACTGGGCACAGGAGCTGAGTTCTTGATCCCCCACATTCCTTTCCAGCAACTGGAGACAAGAAGAAACATATTCTACTGGGAAAAAGCTTTTTGCATGCGTTTTGTGCAGCATGAAAAGATTAGGACTCTTGTGTCCTGACCAGCCTCAAAGACAGAGGACGGGAATCTAAGAAAGCACAGAGAAAAGAGGATTATTGCTGAGTGGCAGCACCGGCCCAAAAGGGAAGAGGAGCATGGACATACAGAGCTCCTCAGGGTGGCAGACTAACTAGTATATATGGGGCAGACTCAATTCTAAGGGCCACACTGGACAGGTTCCTCCAGGTAGAGTTGACCTGGGCAAATACGGCTCAGCAGAGAGATTCAGAGTGGGTAACAGGAGGGCTGAAGAGCCATGGGTGTTCCTAAGAATAGTGGCCAGAGATGCAATGTCTGGGCAGGGGTTATTTGTAAAAATTTCGCAGACTGGTTGGGCCTTGGGTACTTTCCTGGTGCTCGCTCGAACAATGTACTCGAACAATGGGACACTGGGGGCAGAGGTCAGAGATGTGAAGCCACTGACTGTTATTTTGTGGAATTGCAGGGGGGAGGGGGTGACTCAAATTTTTAACTCATCCCCCTGTCCCCAGGTGAGCATTCAAAACTGCAAAGATCTGCCCAGGAAGCAAAATACCTTATTTATCCCAAGGTTGAAAACAAACAAACTTTAAATCATTTAAATCACCACATCACAAAAGGCAACTATTTTGAAAGACTAAAAATGTCACTTGGAAATAAAGGAGGGGGCACACAGAAATGGGTGAAAACACAATATGAGAGTAAGGAGCTGTAAAGACAGCAACCTACACGCCACGTATCTCAGAGGAGCAGGCTCCCATACACACGGGCTTCGTAATACCAGACGGTCTATTTGTTCACAATATTAAAGGGCATCTAGAATCAGCTACAATAAGGGATGGAAAGTTGCCTGAAGAATGGGCACAGAAAGGCTGCGTCCGAAGATGGCCTGTCACTCGGGAGGGTGGAGCTGCTGGGCCTTCCTGTTGACCACTGTCTTGCAAAACTAGAAGAGAAATACAAGTATTAAGGAAGCAACAGGGAAAAATAGAAACACATTGTAAATCATTACTGATGGAGGAATTTCAAAAGGCGGAAGGATGCCAGTTGGTGTGGCAGGGAGTGGAGGGGGAGAGGAAACTAAGGTCCTAGCAGTGATGGAAAAGCTGGCATTGCAACAATCCCATCATGCTACCTCTTAGCTCCCAGAAATCCTTCTCAAGCAAATAGGGCAGGGAGAGAGAGAGGTTTGCATCACTGCTAGTGATACCCAGGTCTTCTCAGCTCCTTGGTTCTATAGAAAACCAGTGTTTATTTAATGAAGTAATCTCCTCTCAGAGCCTGGTGGGAGCAGAGTGAATTTTTCATCCCATGACCAAGTCCACTCTGAGATGCTGGGAAGAGAACAAATCTGGAGGTGTGCAGGGCACTGGGAGACCAGCACTAGGAATCAACAGAAGGAAGGAGCTTGGGGAAGAGTGACAACATGAAATAAGGACATGCTGGTCCTATGACTTGGACAAGCATCTGAAGGAAGTTGGCTCTGATGAGGACAGCTACTTAGTGTGGGACCAAGGGGTATGAAGAAGGAAACCATGCCCAGACACAAGGATGAATGCTAGAAGAGCAGTCTTGTCAGGGAATGGACACAGGAACTGTCTCTGGCATTGGAGGTATAGGGAGCACCCCAAAATGCCTGTTTCAACTTGAAATGATTTTAAGTTATAAGAAGAACTTAGCAGATAAGTTTCAATTCTGCATCCACCCCCTCGCCCCCAACTACCCCCTCTATCGGCTTCTGTCTAGGTAGTTCTTTATAAAAATCACATCTCCCTGAAATATCCTGCATCATAATCTATTTCAAGCCTGAGAGGATAGCAAGTGTATTAGTGATAGTCATTCCTATTACTAGAGGGCAGGATGAGGAAGGAAGCAGGTGTTTTGACTCCATCATGAACAGCTGAGATCTTGAGGTCCCAGATGTGTGTGTGTGTGTATGTGTGTTTGTGTGTGTGTGTGAAAGAGAGAGAGAAAGAGATGTAAGAAATTCAGTACATACAGTGCAGAGGGGGTGGGGTGGCTTTAGTCATCCGCTGTCATTCCTTTCACTGGGTCCTTTTGTCTCATCTAGAAGAGAATAGCAGAGAAAACACAAGAGAAATTGAAGGCTCTTGCTGCAGTGGAACACCAATACAAACATGTCCTGCCTTCTCATCAATGCTGCCAAAGGATAGGGTGGAGCATTTTTATGCACAAAGCAAATCAGAAAAACGGATTCTGCACACAGCCAAAGTAACACCAGTTATGTCTCTGTCACTGATCCCCCCAATCCATGATTTCTACTTCTCCATGCCTCCCTGGGTTGGATGTTTAATTCTTAAGTTCTCCGCTCTCTCTCAGCAAAAATGTATGAAATATCTCTTTTATGCAAGACAATGCTCTGGGCTGGAATCAGCACTGAACGAAAAAAAGACCAAGTCTCTCAAAGAGCTTACATTCTGGGGCAAGGTAGAGAGAACAAACTATATTCCAGATAGGATGGTGAATGGCTTTGAGGAAGCTGTTTATGGGAGGCTTCACCTCTCTGGTAAGTTATGTTTGAGTACAGACTCAAAGGGAATGATGGGGAGGGGATAATCCTGTGTTTCCTGGGTGCTGGGTAAGGGGTGGTGTCCTGTTCAGGGGGAGAAAACAGTATTTCCCTTTCCTGAGCTCTGCTTAGAGGCTTTGCCCAGTCAATCAGGTGAGTAGTGTGGCACCAGAGTTTGGCACAAGAAGAAAAGGGGGATACATATCAGCTTAACATAAGTGCAGGGCTACTGGAAAACAGAGTGGGGTCTTCTCTGAAAGCACCAAATGCTCCCTCTCACTTGGAAGGCTGCAAAGGAACTTCTTGGGAATACTGTGGAGGTGCTCTTTGAATACTTTCCAACTTGAAAATTGTATTTGCAGAGGCTCTATAACATAGATATAGTTTCACTTATCATTAAAATATTTCTTCACTATCCTTTAGTTTTCTGCTCAACTTGCATTCTTTATTCAGTCAACAGATTCTGAACACAAAAGAGCATGACCTTTGGAAACAGACTGGGTTGTATTCCTGGCTCCTCATTAATCATGATCTTAATTAAGCAAGTTACTTCACTGCTCCCTAAGCCTCTATTGTTTCTGTAACAATGGAGATAACAACAGAATACATATTGTGTTGTGAATGTTAAAGATATTCATGTAGGGTACTTGGCATGGCAGAGAGCTCAGCATGGAGTATGCACACAGCACACATTACCAAACAGTCCTTTAGCAAAGGGATGTAAGCTACAGCCCTCCTCAGAGTTACGATCTATTCACTAAAACATGAATAGTAGGCCCACCCTGGTGGCTCAGAGGGTTAAAGCACTGTATTAAGAAGCTAAAGCCACTCCAGCATAAGTTCGATCCCCAGCCTCGGAGGTGATCCACATGGGGAGGCAGACCTCTCCTGCTGCTCCCCTCAGCAGTGTACTTCGTCAGTCGACCTGTTCTGCTCCTCACTCTGTCTCTGGTGAAGCCTCTCACCGCCCCTGCACCTCTGGCCTATACCCCAGTTCTGTATGCATAAATAAATAAATCTTAAAAACAAAAACAAAAACATGAATAGTGCCACAGTTTGCAGTGAGTCCATCTCAGCAGTTTTGCTCTGGGAAACATTTTCAAAGTACTGCCCTGCCACCTGTCAAATCTATGTATATTATCCTCCCCACCTCAAGCTATTATAATTAATAAGTCTTCTTGGAACCTGGACATGGTAAAAAAAAAACTCTCCTGGTCTTCCCGAGAGGCTCAGATAGTGACTCTCTATTGACAACTATTATTGCAGTTATACCAAATTCCTAGCTTGGTCTTTTAGGTCAGAGTTTCCTCATATTTAGTCAAATAATTGTTTGGGGCACTTGTAGATTCTTGGGCCCCAGACCTGATTCATCAGAACTTAGAGGAGATGGAGCATACATGAGTCATAAAGAAAACAATAAATCTTACTGCCCCCAGCAAAGATCCTCTGTTCCAAATAGGAAAGCCTGTTTTTTTCTTACACCAAGACAGTATGTGCTTATTCATAGAAGTTTTGCCCAGTCAATCAGGTGAGTACAGTGTCTATCACCAGAATTTGGCACAAGAAAAAGGGCATAGATCTTAGCTTTACAGCTTAGCTTGCAGGGCTGCTGGAAAACAGGATGGGGTCTTTTCTGTCTTTTCTGGAAGCACCAAATGCTACCTGTCACTTGGAAGACCCAGGAAGGCTCCAAATGGAATACCTGCCCCTTGTAGATTTTGCCCAAAACTCACTTTCTGAATGATATCTTTCTATTTTTATTCATCTGGTAACCTCAGAAGTCTGTGAAGGATAAAGGTGCTTTCATTTTTTTTTTTTTTTAAAGATTTCTTTATTTATCCATACAGAACTAGGGTACAGGCCAGATATGCAGAGGGTGAGAGGATTCACCAGAGACAGAGCGGGGAGCAGAACAGGCCAACTGACGAAGTACACTGCTGAGGGGAGTAGCGGGCGGGTCAGCAGAGGTCTGCTGCGCCATGTGGATCTCCTCCTCCAGGGCAGGCTGGGATTGACCTCATGCGGAAGTGGCTTAAGCTTCTTAGTGCTGTGCTTTAGCCCACTGCGCCACCAGGGAGGGGCCTCATTTTTTTTTAAGATTTATTTTTATGCACACAAGAATTAGGGTGTAGGCCAGTGGTATGAAGGGATGAGAGGATTCACCAGAGACAGAGTGGGGAGCAGAACAGGCATTATCTACTTAAATACACTGCTGAGGGGAGTAGTAGGCAAGACAAGAGAGATCTGCAGCAACAGGTGGGTAAGCTCACTGGCCAGCCCCCACAATGGCTGGCAATTGCTTGACAGCGCTGAGACTTTAATCCCTCCACCATCAAGAGGCCCTGCTGCCATATTTAAAACAAACAAACACTACTGTAGTCCTATGCTGGGACCAGAAGTATATGGTGAACATGATATATAAGATAGTTATAAAAATAACTATAGGTGTAAAACTTTCCTGGCTCGATCCCATGAACAAGCCTGGGAGCATCAACACCCAAGAGTAATGAGCATGCCTAGCATGCAGATACCACCCAGGTTGGGTCATAGAAAAAAATAAAATGAGACTGGAAACCTTTGCTGCACTTCAAATGAATGATAGTAACTTCACTGGAAAGACAGAATACAATGAAAACAACAGGGAATCTGTGACATTCTGGCCTAAAATACAGAAACTGAATGTAATCATGCAGAATCACTGGACAGACCCAGACAGTCTACAAAATGACTATTCTATACATTAAGGAAATGTCAATGGTGGGCCTCCCTCGTAGTGAAAGGGTTTAAGTCTCAGCACTGTGAAGCTATCCACAACGATTGCAGCACTAGTTCAATCCCTGACTGGGGAGGTGACCCATATGATACAACCTTTCCTGTCTCTTCCACTCTTCCTCAGCAGTGTTTTTCACTAGATGTACCTATTCTGCTCCCTATTCTGTCTCTAGTGAGTTCTCTCACCCTCCCCCCTCCACTGCACCTCTGACTTACACCTTGGGCTCCTGTATGTATAAATAAATGAATCTTTAAAAAAAATGTCAAGGGCATGACAATCTAGGAAAAAACTAAGGAACTGTACCAGATTAAAGGGATTTAGGAGCCCTCCATGCTGGCGCAATGGGTTAAAGTGCAGGACTATGAAGCTAGCTGCAGCCGTTTGACCACAAGATCGATCCCCAATCAAGGAGGTGGCCCACCTGGCACAGCAGACTTCTCCTATTTCACCCTCTGCTCCCCTCAGCAGTATATTTCATTGATCTGCCTGTTCTGCTCCCCACTCTGTCTCTGGTGAATCCTCTCACCGCCCCTGCACCTCTGGTCTGTCCCCCAGTTCTGTTTGCATAAATAATAAATCTTTAGTGGAAAAAAAAAAAAGAGAGATGTAGAAGGGTGTACTGTGTGACTCTGGGTTGTACCCCTTGTTCCACAGAAATGCAAAAGGGGTATACAGTAGTCCTTTGTATTCTTGCAATTTTCTTTAAAACTTATTCCAATGTAAAATTTTTTTTTTTAAGATTTATTTATTTATTCATATAGAACTGGGGTACAGGCCAGATATGCGGAGGGTGAGAGGATTCACCAGAGACAGAGCAGGGAGCAGAACAGGCAGATCGATGAAGTACACTGCTGAGCAGTGGGTGGGCCAGGAGAGGTCTGCCACGCCATGTGGATCTCCTCCGGGGCCGGCAGGAATCGAACTCATGCGGAAGTGGCTTAAGCTTCTCAGTGCTGTCCTTTAACCTGCTGCGCCACCAGGGAGGGCCCAATGTAAAATATTTTTAAAGCTAAAACCCTGAGGCAGATCGACAAAGTACACTGCTGAGGGGAGCAGCGGGCGGGTCAGGAGAGGTCTGCCACGCCATGTGGTCACCTCCGGGGCAGGCAGGAATCGAACTCATGCGGAAGTGGCTTAAGCTTCTCAGTGCTGTCCTTTAACCTGCTGCGCCACCAGGGAGGGCCCAATGTAAAATATTTTTAAAGCTAAAACCCTGCTCATTTAAATGTCTGCTTGCTAGTATTTTAAATAATCCACATATATTTCAAATAATCAGAGAGGCTAAGTATTTACTATCATGGAAGAAAAACTCCTTGGGATTAAAGACCCTGGTATTCCTCAAGAGTTCACTGTCTTGCTTTAATTTACTATTGCACAGTCAGATCCTGTTTTCATACTTCTTGACGTAAGATACAACATTTCCTACCATGGAACATGACAATTTCCCTTACTCCCAGAGACATGGGCCCTCCCCAGTGGGGGACTACCGAAATAAAAATGCATTATTTCATTCTTATAATGAAATGCTCTAAGAATGCTTATTTCCTGTTTTCTGGGGCCTAAATAAGATGAGAGATTTTTATCTGCTGTATGTAGTGTTCCTCAAATCAAGTCCCTGAAGGCTATATATACACATATAGTCAAAGAACATGAAAATAGGAACTCCAATCAATCCTGTTTTTTAAAAACAGTGATTTCCTTTGGAAATAAGTCCACGGGATAATGACTTCTTCCTTTTATTTATTTACATGGATATCTATTTTT